CCTCAAAGGGGAACAGTAGCTTCAGGATTCAACACTGGGATGGTGATTAAGAGGGATTTTAGACTTTTATCTAAAAACTGTTGGAGGCCTGGCTTGAGTTCCTCTTTTACCTACTAGGATTCAAATTTCCTTCCCTAACCTCTCAGTTGTATTGACCTAGAGGTAGAAAAAGTAATGTTGCAAAAAAGTTCTTTAAGAGATTAGTGGTATAACATTAACATTTAAAATTGGAGAGAGACATTTTGACAAGTAGCATGCTGTGAATCAGATTTTTGTTGCTGGAGGATTGTCAGCAAGGTTTCATCTTTCCTGTGTATATTTTGAAAAGCCAAGAGAATCGGATGTTCTTGTTTCGTAAGCCTACAGAGACATGATTTTAACCTGTGCATTGAGGAAAATGAACTTTTAACTGCCTTCAGAGCATGGCCACATTATTCCCTGTCATTAACTCCATTTGGCTTAAGAACAAAATTTATAAGCAGAACTCCAGGGTATAGAAAAATAACAGTAGGAGATGAATATGTAAGTAACAAATACTGCGTTTCCATGGAATTATGGTGCAGGAAGACAAATAAATACATTTGACTTATATTACCATTGATGCAAATAGATGGTTCTCTCTGTTGTAAGAGGGCAGAGAAAAATACTACTGAAAATGCCTCTTAGGGGTTGAAGTCTGATGTAATGCATTATATGTGTTCATGTCCACTGGCACGAGAGAAGAGTGGGGTTTTTTTGATTGACAACTTTTGTACAATAGGGACATGTGAAATACAAAGACTGCTTAATGGGCATGTTTTTATTATATATTTCTTAAAAAGAGATGTTTCTTCCCTAGATAATATATGCAAAGAAGTCATCAAGGACAGTAGTTTGGAGAATTAGTAATTAATTTGTTGTAGAATATAACACATTACTGTTACAATCCAGTGGAAAGCAGTGATTCTTGTAAGTGTTGGTCAAATAAAATCAGACTAACTGTAATAAAGTAATACTTCGTGATGTATATGGGAAAGGTTTAGGTCCTTTGCACACAACTCTCTGTTAGAAAACTGAAAAGCTGAATTTTTTTCATTTACTGTAGTAAGACCGACCTTTGAACCAACTACTTGGAATAGACTTTGCCATTTATTTTTTTACTTGTGCTTACTGTTAAGAATGTATTTTTATTATGGCTAAATCGACAAAAATATGTTCGGGATTTAGTATTAATGTCCTCAATCTCAAGAGACAGTTTCTAGCACTGTGGTCAGATCATCAACACTTTGACAGTTCAACTCAGTTCTTAAAAATTTGCATATAAGGTTTTAAAGCAGTTCTTGCTAGGCTATTCTGGTGCTTCACTGACCTTGAAAAGCCTTTTCTGTTATGGAACCTCAGTCCTTTTTTTCCTACTTGTTAAATTACACACAGTGTTTATAAAGGAAGAGAGAGAAGAGTTATGAAAATAAACTAACGTAGACAGATTTCAAACAAATAGAAACTTTTGGTCTGAATCTTAAGTTTCCCACAGTGAAGGAACAGTGTAAAAGTGGCCTACAGATAGATTAACAGACAGATTGAATGCAGATCTAGATAGAGATGAAGAGCATCTGGTAGTATTCTAATGTTATCATGAGATGAAAGCTTCATTGTAGCTAAGTTTGTATTCATGTTGTACCGATTAGCAATTTCAGTGTTACTATTTTACAATTTTGCACTTGATCATGAAGCTTATATTTTGAGCAGGTAAATATGTAACTTCTTGACTTGCTTTTTCTTGATGAGTTTGCTAGCACTCTTCTGGAATTCTGACTTGTGTAAATGGAAAAACCCCTCTAAACAGAAACTTTAATAAAGCTGTTGTTTCCAACTCTAGTGCAGTTTATGGATTTAACACAAAGTCAGTTTACTTTCGGTCTCAGCTGTCTGTTACCATCCTTGATTCCAGTTTCATCTTCTCTTCCTCATAGGGCTTTTCTGTCTTCTTTCAAAAGACAACTGATGAAATGCAACCTCATCTTCCTCATTTCTCAGGTCTTTCACATAGTTGTCCACAAATCCTCTGTTTTCTCCCTTATTATAGCCACAGAAGGTATATTTTGGTTTACCTTGTTTAACACTGTTTTTACCCAATATTGTAATTTTGTCTCCTAATCTGCTTCACACCTCACTGCTTCATTTTCCTTCTTAATATTTCATTTTCTCTTAAATTAGAATTTTCCAGTTCGTAACTGAAAAGCATTTCTTAAAAATATGTTTGGGTCAGCATGAAACAAAATGAGTTGAAGTTTGTTTTTTTAATGTGAAATGGAAAACAAAATATGGTTTAGATTTTTTCTTAAGTGAATTTGATTGCTTTATTTTAATGTCTTTAAACTTATGTCCCCACAGCATTTTGTAGGAAGTAGATGCATAAGTTTATTATATAATAAGGATTAAACAACATTCCTTTGTTTGTCTCAAACCTGCAAAGTATTTTGGTTTAGAAAATATCATAGCAAAACATTCAAGTTAGATGCTCTCTCCAGATTTTCATCAGGCTTGCATCCAGCACCAGTTCTTCCTATGCAACAGTTCTAAGGTACAGTAAGTTGCATTTCCATCCACTTACAGATCTAAAACGTCACATCGGTCTTCTCAACCCAGCATTGAGCTGGTGAGATCCTTTTGCCTTGCCTTGACAAAGGCAGTCTTGTCCTTCACCCATCCACTCAGGATTATGCTGTAAAGGAATGATATTTCTAGTCCATCCTTATGTACCCTTGTAATATCACACATTTCATTTTTCAGTTGTTTTTCTCCTTCTCTGTTATACCACACAGAAGCTACTTATTTTCCCTTTCATGGTACTTCAGGACTTATTCCCACTCAGTTGTCAGTCATTTACTATTTACTATTTCCAGCAAGCTAAACCTTACTCTGATACCCATTGTAATCAGTTTAACTCTGTCATAAACTGATTTAGACTGAGTCCCTCTTAGAACATCAGTTAACTGCTAAGTCACAATTAGGACAAATGTGTTATCATCACCTTCTCTTGGTATGTCACAGCCCTTTGAGAATTTGGGGGAAGTGTTACCCAGCTGCTCACGTTCTGTTGTATCTCTTTTGTGGACTTACAGCACGATCTCAATTAAATTTGAGACCTAAGTGAACAGTGTCAGGTTGACTGTACTTAAATTCCTGGCTCAGCAAAATAATATGATGAATAATATCCATAGGGATAATGTGTCACAATTTTAAAATACCAGAAAACTTAAGTAATAGCTGCAGTTGTGACAGGCTGAGTCTTTCAAGTGTTCAGTGCATACTGTGACTGCTGAATCAAGTCATCTTTGTTTTAAACTTTCCATTTTGTGTTCTACTGTTGAAGCTAGGAATCGAAAGTTTCCTTTTCTATGAGTGACAAGAATCAGAGAATGAATGTGTACTCATATTTAATTTCAGCAGTTTATAATTTGCAATCAACTTGAAATTTATTCTTGGCATTGAATAAAAGACTTCTGGAGAAATAACTAAAGATTTAAAATTTTGAATTTGCAGTTTGGGAGACGGAAGTCAGAAAGTTTTGTTGAGGTCCTTCTTTAGTAGTAAAAATACATTTTCTAACAACAGTGAATGTTTATTAATGAGGAACTGGATTGCTACTTGAAAATTCTGTCAGATGTCTTGGAAATGTTCTATTGAAAAGAACTAGTTAAAATGTCAGTAAGAAGAATATTATTGTAGGTTCATAATTTCTTGGAGGTATCATGTCTTCTATAATTTGCTATTCTGTAATGTGTTTGGCCTTTACATGCATTTATATGTGTATGCTTTTGGGCTTCACCTATGTCAGATGAAGTTTCTTGCTTATAAAGTTAACTTTTGTCTTGATGAGGATTTGTGCTATTTAGGGTTTAGATCTGATCTTACGCCCATGTCAGCTGTTGCTGGAAATGATAAAGACATTTGGAATCTGGAAGAATCGGCTTCACAAAATCATCATGACTCCTTGAAAGAGTGATGCCAGGTTCCCAAATGAGTCAAGCCATATTTGAAAAAATCTGTGGATCCAATTTACATTTTTTCCGATAGGATCATAAAGGGATGTGCTGATAATCCAAAAGTTTCTTCTTGGCTACCAAGCAAATTGCCATGCTATTGGATAAATTCCTTCTAGTGTCTTGTTTTTAATAGTACAACTCTATGTGCCAGTGCAAATGAAAGTAGGAACAACCATGGTATGATTAGCATGGCAGCGTCAAGAAAGTATGTCTTTTTTTTTTCTAAAGCCAATAATGAGGGGTTAAAATGATAAAAATTGATGTTAGAAACTCCCTTTAAAGATGCAATGTGGTGAGACTGCATGAGAGATACAAGTTTTTTGGAAGCTTGCAAGATGGAAATTAAAGCATTACTTGCTGCGTTTTGGATGGCATTCCTCCTTTCCCACCCAAGACCAAGGATCTATTGCAGTTCTGTATCCCTGTATCAATTAAATTCCTTGTAATTTATTCTAGACAGAGCGCATTTTTCTATTTGCATGTGTTCTGTTATTTTGCTACTCATAAATTCTCAGTCTAGAGAAAAACCTTTACAAAGGATGAATAAGAATTTTCTGCATTTTATTATCTTCAAACTTCCACTGGTGTTTTGCATTTTTTGGAAAGTAAAAGATCCAAGGTTTAATGTTCTCCATGATGCTGACAAATTATGTTACGGGTCTTACCTTAGCAATTGAAGTAAATAGGGACCATAAAGGCTGTTCTTCATCTTCTGCTATTATTTTTCCTGAATTATGAAGCAGTGGAAACACTGAAGAATTGTTTTCGTTTCAGACCACTTTAGTCTTTGTTACCTCTAAAATGTGCAAATTAAGTATATATTAAGAATGTACATTTCTTATTGGGTGATTGAATGGAACTTCTGTTAGTGTCAGTAAGTTGCTTTCATAATTTTCTATGCATTATTCTAAAAATTGACTTCCCAGTAACATTGTTCCATAAAGCACACAGAACTTTTTATCTGTTTTATAGGGCTGTGACTCTCAAATGAGCATGTCAGAAGTGTCCTGCAGTGAAAGTACCTCCTCTTGTCAGTCTCTGGTACATGGCTCAGCTCCAGAAATCCTCATTGGCCTCCTTTATAATGCTACAACTGGAAGATTATCAGCAGAAGTGATAAAAGGCAGCCACTTCAAAAACTTGGCAGCGAACAGACCACCCAGTGAGTGAAAATCTTTTTTCATCCTAATGCTTCTGTACTGATGGGGCTCTTGGTAGCAAGGACTTCAATCCTATCACTTAGTCTTACCCAATCAAAATGAAATAGAGCAATCATCAACTAATCTGTTTCATGTTTTATATTTCTAGTCAGTTGGGAAATAGCAAAAATCTAAAATTCAAAATATTAATTGTAAGTTGACAAGCCTGTTTTAATTTTTCATGATGACTGACTAATAAATTACCTTTATCATAATGATTAATTGCTAAATTACTAATGCCTCACATCACAGGCCAAGAATAAAAAGTCAGTGTTTAAAGAGAAAGTACATGCCAGTTAATATTAATATAAACACTCTGAACAGTTATTACTGTTCCTAGAGGGGTTGATACTGCAGTCATTAATTGCTTATGTGCCTGTATATATGTAGTAATAGATGTAACTTTGGAATGTCAGTGAAGACAACAGAGAAACCACTTGAGATCTTTCACATATTTACTATACAGAAGGAATGTTCACCATCAGAAAGGACTTGAACTGTGTATTGAAGCACTTGTTCAAAAATACATTTGTCTGAAATATATGTGAACTTTATGTACTTCTAAACTGGGGCCAGATGGAATGTCACACACAGAGAACGTTATTACTGTCTCTAGTTCTTTTCAGCTTGAGAAAGTTCAGTAACGAATTTCTTTTAAAAATATTTTTTATTGTTTTTAAGGTGATGAGTCTGATTTACATAAGTGTTAATGAGACTTAGCTACCTGTTCCTTTTGATTTTGTCTGGAGTCTCAGGCTTTAGCCACTCTTTTTCTTAAACCCGAGATTAGTATGGCACTAGCAGATTATCTGGCACGACTGGATTATGTAGCAGGCTGCCAACATTTTGTGAGTGGTTTGCACATCTCCCTTTTGTCTCCAGAGTTTAGGAAGTAAGCCAGACAACTTGATACTGATGCTCACTCATCTTTCCTGCTTTCTTCACCCATGTTTATTCTATTCATTAATTGATTCACCTTACTCTGCTTTGCTTTCTCTATACTTTTCACACTGATGGAGCTAGACTTTGTTGGCATGGCCAGAGAAGGAAGGCAAAAGATGGATCTCTAACACTTTTATGTAATTAGGTAGCTGCCCCAGAGTCATCTATTTGGAGATAAGGTATGGAAATAGATGGAGAAAGCCAAGGAGGTCCTATGACACTGGGGTGGGAGAAGGAATGAAAAGGAGAGAAGACCTGGAGAGAGGGATCATGTGTTTCCTTAAAGCAAAAACAGATGCTTATCTTTCTGGAATCTCAGAGATAGGCAATTTTTATTTAATATTTAGAATATGCACGTTAGGAGGGGTTCAGTACTTGTTTTGTAAACAGAGGTGTTCATTCCCTGCTATGTTAATTCCCAAAATATGCTCTGTGGGCCCATGCTGTGTAGCTAATAGTTGTGTGTGTGAGTGGGGTCAAAAATCTGTTTCAGATTGCAAGAAAGCAGCATAGAATATGGCACGTAGCCCTGTTCTGTCTAATCTTTTTGGAAGGAAGATTTTTCATGTTGTCTTTTATCATCTCCTGTGAAGGATAGGGGAAAGTTTTGATATTCATAATAGTAATAGTCCAGTTCTGTTTAGGCAGCTGTGGGTTCGGAGTTCTGTTGTTTCTTAGAAAGCTGGAAACTAATGCACTTTCTGGGTCTGGTAAAACCATGCAGAGGATATTGTGGAATCTAGATTTCCCCTGTGGGCTGTTTTGTGCCATCCCCCTCCCCTCACCCCAGTAGTGGTGCCACCTGCTTTTAAACTCCTGGCCCCAGGTGCATACTGCTGCCCTTTCCTAACTCCTTGTTGAATCCATTGTGGACACCTGCCAGCCTCAATCTGTGCCATCATTTCCACAAAATGAAAACTAAGGCCCATAGGGATGATGATGAAATGTTCTGGTCAGATTTGTTGTTCAGAGTACCAGTGGTTCAAAATCCTGAGAAGTGCTGGAAAGTACATGTGCAGTTCAGTTTTCATTCATGTGTTGAGAAACAGTGATAGAAATGGAAGCAATTATTCTTTCCCACGTGCGATCCTTTCTGTAGTCTAAGGGTTGTGAACCTGTGAATTTTTGTGAAGTGCTTCTGCAGCAAATATAAACTGAATACTAAATTTCTACTTCCTGATTGTACAAACTCCTCTACTGCATATTTATATGTTATATAGTAGCTAATTTAACAACTGAGTACAGGCAAATAGGCCAAATTCTGCAGTTGACAACAGTGGATGTTGGAATGTGTCTTTGTTTCTCTGTGTGGCAATTAATATTTTGTCTGAGAAAAAGATGCTTCTTAATGTTCTTTAAAGTTTTGTTGAAACAGGGTATGAGCTTTTGCATATTAAATGCATGTGTGTGTATGCATGCACACACACATTAAATCCATAAATACATGGATTTTAACAAGAGAGATCTTTACATTCTAAATAGAGAACCATAGTTGAATTTCAGATATAAGTGTCCCTCAGCTATTTTTAGAGATTAGATCAGAGTAATTCTCATGCCCAGGTTCATCACTACTCAAGAACTAAAGTATAAGAATCAGATATCAGTAACTATAAAAGCTAAGGGCAAAACCAGCTTAGTTTTCTGTTAAGTGATTTTTCATTTTATTGCTTTTAATAGGTGAAGTAAAATTACTATGTGCAGTTTTCCTAAATATGCTGGAGTTTGCATGAAAAAGAATAAGTTTTGTTAAAAAGGATACAGTGATTTTTACCCAATTTGCTACAATCTAATCATTTGCATGATTCTTGCTATGTTGAGTGTGTTTTAGAACCCAGTGGCTATTAGTGCTAAGATAACTCATTATGTAAGTGGTGTAATTTTTGTTAAAGATTACACAAAAACTGCACAAAATTTTCATTTCATTAAATTTTACCTGACAATCCTTTTGTTCAGTCCTTTTTCTGATCTATGCTGCTAAGGTTTTATGTTCTTCCAGTCCAGTGAATAGTGTTTCCTCTTAAACTTTAACCTTTGATCCTCTCTCACCCAACTACTGACATCTGGTCATTATTTCTTTTACTGCTTTCCACCCCCTGTTGTCAGACGGACTGTTCTGTTGTCTAAAACACTTGATAGGTGGACAGGTTTATATAATCCGAGGTGAGTTCCTGTAGAAACTAATTGGATGTTGTCTTTTTCATGCAAAAGAAAATGTGCCAGCAGTAAAATTTCCACGGCTGCCTGCATATCGGTTTATAAATGTATATGTTTATTTTTTTGTGACAATCTCTAATGCAAAAGTTGCATTTATCTCTGATTATGGATGTTGGGATTTCAGTGTACCCTGCAAAGTGAAAATATTCAATTTGTTTCTTTTTACATAAACTCCAATCTTTAGTTAATGTTATCCATTAACAAGAATGAGATAGGAATAAAGAATGAAACACAAGATTGTTTTATACAGTTTTATGTTGCCTATCATCAGTTAACTTCATGAAATGTGCATCCTTCTACAGGAGCATGGTTTGGTGCTTCTGGTCAAAGGAAAATAGAGCTTTAAAAATAAGGGTTTATACCAAAATGTGAACGCTTAATTTGTGCTACCTACATTACTTGCATCAGCTTCTTAAATGTGATGCTTAAGAGTACTGTACAAACTATATTTTAAACAATCATCTTGAATTATGCAAAAACTTGTTTCTCTTTAAACATGTATTTAATGTATTCCTTCATGAATCTAGGAATTAATAGGGTTTTTGTATTGTGTAAACTTCCATCTTTGAATGAACTTTGCTACATTTTGGTCTTCAAAATAAATAAAACTGAAAAGCCCAAAGTGAGAACCGCATCCATGCAGAGATTATTAATAAACATTTTATTCTGGCTGTTTTGATATAGTCACTGCGAATCAGTGTTATTTTTTTTTCCTCTTCATTAGTTGCCTTTATTCCACTTCATTTGTTCATATTCTTTGAAAATTCAGTGGTATGCTTTACAGTGTTGTGCCTAGTTGGAGCTTGCTAAGTGTTAATGCAATTTAAGTTTCTTTAGACTAAATAAGGGGGATCAACGGGAAGAGGATTATGAGGTATACCTTTAATTTGGTATGTACCCATGTACATAGTAATGAAGCTAGTTAATTTGTTAGTGTGTTTGTAATATTTTGCTTACCTGTCATCTTTCCATGTGTCTAAACTAAGCTGTGTTCAGTCATCCTGGTGTACACCATATCCTTCTTTCTTGTACATATCTTGTTCTCCAAAACTTTTGTTCTAAGATACCTGACATTCCAAATATGATTTATTTTGTAGATACATATGTTAAGTTAACACTGCTGAACTCGATGGGGCAAGAGATGTCCAAATGCAAAACCTCCATCCGGCGAGGACAGCCCAATCCAGTGTACAAAGAAACCTTCGTTTTCCAGGTGGCTCTGTTTCAGCTGTCAGACGTGACACTCATACTGTCTGTATATAATAAGCGCAGCATGAAACGAAAAGAGATGATAGGGTGGATTTCCTTAGGTCTCAACAGCTCAGGAGAAGACGAACTCAATCACTGGACTGAAATGAAAGAATCTAAAGGACAGCAAGTGTGTAGATGGCATACTTTACTAGAATCGTAATGGATGGTAGGAAGTGTGGTCATGGTTTAAAGGGAGTTTGTTCTCCTGAGAAGATGATCATCCCTGGTCACAATCAACAGATCTGTTATGGGAGTAAAAAAAACAAAAATTGAGGTCAACATTCCATCATAAAGAATGCACAAGATGCAAAATGGCCGGACTTAATATACAATCTTCACTTAGTGTCATAAACTTCCTTGGTGTCAGAGAAGCCGTACTGTACACAGATATATTAGCAGTCCCTTTCCCATCCACCTGATGCTGTATTTGTTTGGGTTTGTTTTGTGGTTTTCAATTCAGAAACATTTTGTGTAAGGTTCTTTGAATTAATGTAAGCTCCTCCTTGTGTACTTTTTGTATTGCTTTAATACTGTAGCTTCTGACCTGCCTGCATTCAGATTAAAGGTCAACAGTTTGCACTTTGAGAAAAAGTTAATGGTCTGTCTAGCAAAAGCAAAAAAAAACCAGCCCACTGGTGAAAGAACACTTAGTAATATAGCAAATAGAAATATACTGTTGTTTTACACTGAGTTTCTTTCCAGGAGCTTAGTACAAGTAAGTTTTCATTTTTTGATATGCAGTTGGTTTGAAAAATACTAGCATTTGGGCATCAGGTGAACTTTGACATCAAACTAATGTTTCTTCAATCTGTGACAGGAACAAGCTCTATATATGGCATAAATTGGGTTTTTCCCTCTTGCCTGTACTTCTGCCTAATCCAAAGAGACCAGATCATTGGTTTGGTCCCTTCCAAAACTCCTTAGACAGGTTGTACTGTAAAACTATGTAACTTTCTGTTGAAAGCACTTCCAGTATTCATGTATTCCAATGTAGGAAGCTCATAGAGCACGACTTTACTAAAATATATTTTCATTAAACAAATTGATACAAATTTCTTTAAAATGTCATCGGATCGAAGTTAGGCTGCAAGACTGTGAAGGAAGTGGCAGCAGTTGAACTGCTCTGAATGAGTGTGAAATACTATGGCTTTGCTTGAAGCAGGTATCCGTTTGAGTCTCTTCTGAGCTCTTTTAGGAACTACCATATGCTGTTCACTGGAACTAGAGAGCAGACAAGGAGTTTTTACATTTCTTCTTGAAGAAGAGAACATCAGTAAGTTATATTTCTAGTGATTTTTCAGCAATTGAATGAATGTGCCCATGCAAAACAGAAGTTTGCTTTGCTTGTGTTCAGGCTGGGAAACACAGCTTTCTAATGACACAGTTGAGAAGTCACAGTATTACAAGAAGGTTTGCCATCAGGTAAACATTTGTGGCATCCACCAAAATTGGGGAAATATCAGTGCTTCTGAGATTCCTATTTGTCCCAAATGCTTTAGCTGGACTCGCACTAATTTATTGACTGCTGAATCTAATTCATATTACTGAAATTGTGGGTTATTGAGTAAACATATTTATTTTTAAAAAGCTTCCCAATTCAAATATTCTTCTTGCCAGTAATGAATAAGCTCCATTTATTTTTAACTGTTGCTGTATGAAAAGCAAGTGATTTTTTTTTTCTTATAAGTGATGGTTATGTCTTACTAATACGGGACCTCACTGACTGTTGTAGCACTTGGTGGGTAGAAGACTATTGGATTTTGCTGAGAGAATTAGTGTTAGTCTAGAGCATTCTCATTAGGACAAATGTTTTTCTCTTGAATTTCTTTATACTGTCTCCGAACAATCCTGACCTTGCATTTTACAGACTGTCAAGTACAGTGAGATTGGTGAAGGTGAGTATGCTATAATAAAGATATTTCATGTGGTTCTCAAATTCTCACACTACTTAACAATTGCATTAAGTCCTTTCTAAAGTATATTGTAATTCCACGTCTTGGTTTATTTGGTGCCTTTTGATGGGTTTATTTGCAGAGCCGGGCTTTCGGTTTTTATGGATTTAAAGATTTAAACACTATTACAGACCTTTTTGGGGTTTTTTTCCTCCTGATATTGCGCTGCTGCTTCATTTACAGAAGCTTTATTTACTAAATACAAATAATGCAAAAAACTTTCTTTAAACAGGAACGGTCTTGCAGCAATACTCTTTCAGTCCTTTTTGTTGATCAGTTTGTGAAATATAATGTTGAGTGTAGAATTTAATAAAAAATCAACATTAATTTTATATGCATAAGGAAAATGCTCAGATTTTCACAATCCTTTCAGTTTCCCATGTAATAGAAACAGCTTAGAAGCTGTACAAAAGCAGTTTTTCAGTGGATGTGGAAGTGTTTTTATCCATTCTCTTTGTGTATATTTGGACGCTCTTTCCTGAAGCTGAAAGTTGTCTCTTGATGGTTGTCTCTTTGTACAAGTTTTGCTATATAAAATAATGTACAATATTTAACAGCAAGAACTGAGCCAGTTAATTCTAGTAGAGAATGTACTTAATGTCACTATTGAACAAATGAAGAAGTCAGTTTGGAAGGTGCAGCAAATAACCTCTTACAAAACCAAACTCAATTAAACCGTGTCATGATGTGCGTTTCTGTTTGTAGGTTGATTTGCTTCAGCTTTCCATCTAATCCTTTAGATTTCTAAGACACTGAAATCTTAATTTAGACACAGCAGAGATTTATAGTCATCCGTGTTGGGCACATTAGGGGAGAGGAATTTCTCTCTAGGTCACATGACTTTTCCTAAAGTATCCAGGACCAGTCTGTGTTTCACAGAAGCAGGATTGGTTTACTTGGATTTATACTGTACAAAGCCTAGGAACTCAATGTATAAAGAATGTGAATGAATGTTTAATTTCGAGGCAGTAGAATATGGATTTGCCATGCAAAACCAGTCACACCAATAATTGGATTCGTCTTGGGATTTTTGTGAGTTAATTATAGTACCAATAGCTGTCATGTTGTTTTTTCTTCCTAGAATCCATTCTTACTATTTGATTTGTTTGTAATTTTGTTTTTCTTATTGCTTATGCGAACCTATACTTTTGTATTTGAAGTCTGCCTTTAGATATTGTGGATTTTTTGAACCCTGAGTAAGGGCTTACACATGCAGTGTGGTTTTGTGCATTCAGTTAGATCATAAGCCCAGAAAAGTATTTCTAAAGAACCAAGTATCACTAACAAATTAGAGGCACTTGTGTTTTCCTCAGAGTTGGCTGTGGTTTTTTTCATAGCTTTTTGTTGTTTGCCTTTGTTCAAAAGTACAGTGAGCACTTGGAAAAAATTACCAAACTAATTACTTTTCTGTGTGCCAGTATACCATGTAGAGATTGCAGATCTTGAATTGAATCTGTTTCCTGTCAGTGTAGCCTTAAATAATTATAGAACAATGACGTTCTTGCAGATTCTATTCTTGAAAATATTGCATCCTTTCTGTGTATGAACTATTTGATTTAATGTTTAGAACGTTTCACATAGCTCGTCTTAAAGTATTATGAATGTGAAAAAGTTAGTTCCTTTCTATGGTAAGGGCAAGGTTGTGAAGGGCAGGACAGCCAGGCATGAAATCACTGCGCAGAAAGATGAGAGGTTGTACAGCACCTGCAGGACATCGCTGTCTCCCACATGCGTGGAGGCAAGAAGTCAGCAGAGTCGTGCTGCCACTTCCAGTTCAGCCAGGTGGCACAGGGAAGGAGGATAGCACTGGGAAGATTCAATCCTTTGTCACCGTGGTGCTTCCTCACACTCGGGACTTTAAACATCCACATTGTAATCACACTGTGAGGTCTGACTGCAAAGGCAGAAGTTAGGCAAGGTGTTAAGTTCTGCTACGGGAGAAATATGACACTATTTCTAGATGCAATTAATGTCTTCTAAGCTCATTAATAATTAGATATGGAAATATGGGTGAGCCCTTAGAATGAATGTATGTACTCTTACTAGAGCTGAACATTGTTTATTCATCAAGGAAACACTTGAGCTGAAAACAGATTTTATGGCATTTACTGTGGGACATATTTTTCTCTGTAAATTTTTGTAATGATTCTTGATGGCAGATGTAGTGTCAGCATCAGTACCTTCCAATTTGTCACACCTTTGGAGCAATTTTTTTGTTGTCTAAAATTTGTGTTGTTGATTTTTTCTCTTTTCTCCTCAATGATTCACTCCTGCAAACTCCCCAGCACCCTGAGAAGTTGTCTGGGCCTTAGAAGTCAGGGACATTCTGCACCACTTACTTTAAGGTACTGGTGCAAAATTTCTGTGACCTGTCCAACTCCCAAAGATTTCTGAAATGAAAACCATCAGTTTTAATGTAGTGAAGCAGAAGAAGAAAACTTCTTTGAGGGAGACATTTTAATGTAGAAATTGAATACAGATTACTATTACACGTACCAATTCTAACAAAAATTCTGAGGTAAAATCGGAATGAGGGTTGAGGGGAGGCCTTTTGGCCTGAGCTGTTTCAACTTGAAACTAACAGCAGAATGCCTTTTCGTTGAACTCATAATTGTATTGAACCCTTTACTTCCTTATCATACTTCCCTGGAGGAAAAAAATCTGTCCTGTTTAAAGCAGTCTTTAAAATTATGGCTTGTCACTTGTAAGACAGACTGACTTCCTCCTGAAGCTGTATTCTCAGTGACAACTAAACATCCATTTAATTCTCTGACTGATGTGCATGCCTGCCTACTGTTACTGTTAGTGAGAGGAGCCCATGGGCATCAACAGGAGAGCAGACGTCACCCTGAAAGTGTGAACAATAGGATTGGTAGGTTAGAGAAGTGGTGCAGCATGGAACCTGCAGCACAGCCAAATGTGATTTCAGTTATGAATGAAGGTAGAAACACAAATATCTGGATATTGTCACAAACTTGTTATTTAATCATTCTCTCTTATATTTGTTTCTTCCTTTTCTCAGATTTTGAAATATTTTTAAAACTTAGTATTAAAAATGTTAAAGCAGTTCCGAACATCTTGATAATTTTAACTGGAACATTCAGCAAAATTTATTGTTAGAACGAGCCTTCAGGAATGTTCTGTGGTTTTGGTCTCTTTAACTCAACTGCTAGATTTTGTAGTGCATCACAGCTGGATTTCAGACTACTTTGTTGTGATGATTGATTTTGAGGGGAAAGTCACAGGAGCATTTCCTTGTCACTGAATCAACAATGCCAGTTGAAGAGATGTCATCTGAGAGCAAGAGCAGTAAAATAAGAGATATCTTCATGCAGTAGCGGTGACAGTGACTCAGATTCCACTCTTGGAGCCTTGTGGCCCTCAGAAGGTCCTGCTCAGAGAAACTGTGACATGGGAATTGTGGAATTTCATACATTCAAAGCAGCACTGGTCTGTGTGGGCATCACGTGGCTTCTAAACTAGTGTATTTTACAGAGGTGGATTTTTTTTTTTTGCCCAGGGTGAGTAGGGCGAGTGCCAACTGGCCTGTAGTGACATGGATTAGTTTAGCCTTAAGAACTTATCACTGCCCCTCCTTAAGTTCAAGCAGGGTTTTTTCCTTTCTGCAGACTATGCAGAAATTTTATGCACCCAATGTATCTGCTTATATTATGCCTACCTGAATATGGCACAATTATATTAATGCTGGCAAGCTTAGTTCTTACGTTAGATGGTGTGACTGAATTAATAAATGGGCCTGGTACATGCTGGATCAGGTTTTACTGTTCGGGCTTACACTGGTACGATGTAGAAATAAGATCCTTATGTGGAGGAATGTGCCAGGAGTTAGGAAAGTGGGTAGTATTGCTCCTGTAGGAATGAAGACCAAGAAACAGCTATGCCCAGAAAATGGGCAAGGCTAGCTTATAGCAAGAAGGAATCATTCACTTCCTTGCAAGCATGTACTGGTTGAGCTGGCATAAAGACCCTACTCAGGAGAGCAGAAGCAGTAATACCATATCACTGAAGGAATACCTCATGGACATTCAGGGATGTAATTAATGTCATCCTTTTGTCTCTTATATCTGAGGACAAGAGTCTTGCCCATTGTATCAATACAATTTTTTTGCTATGTTTTGCGAATCCTGTGGACATTCACTGCATGCTGAGGGTCTAAAGTGGATTGCTTTTTAACTTCTGGTTTATTTACAAAGCATGAGTTTGAAGGATACTACCGAATTAACTAGAAGCATTATCATAGCTTTGAGATGTAATCTCTAGGCCATAGTGCAAGCAAGGAGCAGGGCTTTGAACCAATTTTGATAGTCAGTTTGCAAATGGCTTATTATGACATTTTAAGAAAATTTCTAAGCAGTTGAATGTATTAAGGAATATTTACAAAAAAGGAGATAGAGCAATGATCTTTTTTTACTATACAGCTAGTTTGCTGTCCTTTCCAGTAAACCACAAGGTTCATTAGTGCTCAGTACTGTTTTGTTTACGATAACTGTTTTTAATGTGATTTTCATGACAAAGTGTAATTAGTGAAACCTTTTATTCAATTTTTCCCTTTCTTTGCTTTTTTTAAGGAGAGATTTCTCCTTATATAGTATATATACTTTCTTACAGAGCTTTCTTACCTATTTTTATATAAGACTTAACAATGTAAAATTAA